TTTTCCACAAAGGATTTGCTGATGGGGTATTGTCTGTATGGGAGTTAATTTTTAGGATTGGAAACTGTTAAATGTAGAAAAGAAATTGATTTAATTTAATTTTAATATTTAATTTAAGATTTTAGCCTGGCACTATGTCTATTTGATACTACTTCTAAAAGCAAGAAAAATAAAATTTGGTATTTATTAGGAGAATGCAAAAAATAGCTAACATATCTACACAGGTCTCATATGCTTAAGGTAGATAATTCATTTTGTCTCCTTTCAGTGACTTAAGGACCAGTTCTAATGTACAGTAAATGAGAGCACAATACCAAAAATCATTCTCCCCTGAAAACTTGTCACTGTTAGACATTTGCAAGGATATTTTTTAAACTTGTGCCAACCTTCATCTGACTTGATAAGTATTCTTTCTCAGCTCCAGCTCAATTAGCAACACTCACCATTCCTTGAGTTTTATAATACCCATGTGACTCTGCTTCATCTCAAATAATTTTCTTTTGCTGTTCAGCTGCATCTAAAGTAAATGGTCCTTTTCCCCTAGTGGCCACAGATCAAAACTATTTACACTTAAACACTGAAAAAGACTGGAAAATCAAATGACTTTACTGAGAAAATGCATGGTTCCTTTGATTGACATTCCCAATCTCTTCCTCCCTGAAATTAAGATATATTATATTTGTACATTCGTGTAATAATATGTTGTGTATATATCAGTCTATATCTGGGTGTGCACATATGTAAGTATGTGTGGAATGGATGTAAGTTGCCCTTGAATTAGTCCAATGACTTGGCATTTTAATAGACTTAAAACAGATATCAAGATGATTTTTCTGTGCCTAAATTTGACTCTCTAATCAAGGATTTTATGATTAAAAAGTCCTTTGTTTCTGTATGTACCTGTGCATGCACATCCCTTCAAGTACATATTATTCAACACTCACTGAAGTATTTCTTTGTAACAGATGTTTACTTGGGAGCTTTCCTTAGTTTCTTCTGTTTTATCCTTCACAACTCTTGAGGTAGGCACTAGTACTAGTCCCCATTTTAACCATTTTAATGTCACCCATTCTATATTATTTTATGAGTATTACTCCTCTATCTTTTGGCATCTATTAGTAATTGACCTTCAGTTGGTGGTAGCTCCTGTATACTATGGCAAAACATGGAATTTAACAGCAAATACCTGTTAGAGAATCAGAATGGGAAAAACTAGGAAACAGAGACTTACAAAACAAGAAAAATAAATCAAACCCCAAACAACAGTGGTTTTCACGTACTTAAGACATTTATTGGTTTTCTTTTCAGTATATTGACCATATTTCAAAAGTCTTCCAGAAGCAAAAAATTTGTTCTAAGAATGAAAAATACTAAGCAATTTTCTCAATTACAAATTGTGATTTATAATTGGATTTTGCTCTGTTAAGATGAAATCTTCTTTAATTAATTACATATGGAGGAATTTTCAGAAGCAGGGCGGTGAAGTTGCCTTTTGTACATTTTTATAGTTTTCTTCAAAGAGTCTAAGTTAAACTTGTAACAAAATGCAAAGTGAGAATAATTTGGCCTATCAACTAGTGGTTTTGAAGTCAAGTTCCTTAAAGTTAAGTGTCTAGTAATTTAAAAGAAAAACAATTTTCTTAACTGTTTTTAATCTTGTTGCTTGATAACAGTCAAGATATCTTACTTTTACATGGACTATAAAGGATATTCATGTATCCATTATCTCATTTTAGTATCATTGTCACCCTTTGAAAAAAATCAGTGTGCTTATTGATTTTTATATCTTATTGAGGAAGAAAAGTCATCTGATAGAGATTCAATAATTTCCCTGAGTAAATCTAGCTAGTAATGCCTTATCCAATTATACTATAAAATTTTAAAATCTGACCTCCATGTTTTAAATTTCACACAGTAAGATTTCCCTTTGGAGTTTTTGTTAAACTTAGCAGAGATGAAAGTGTTTAGTTGTTCACTGTGCTTTAATTTTTCAAATCATTTTTCTGAAATTACAAAATAGATGTTAAATTGTAACATGAAATTACAAAGCTTATAAGATTTTTCTTTCTTTTATAGTCTTCTCAGTAAGAGTATTTGTTTGTTTATATATTTCGACACCAATATGAATGTGAACGATTTTTTGCAAAGGGGAAAGAAATGAAACAACTGTACCTAATATGCTGTGTTCCTGAATTATTAATGAGTTTTTTTAGCAGCCAAAGACTAAACCTGTGAAATATCTGTCATTATAAATTGAATATAGTTCCCCCGTGGGCTCAAGTTGCATAAACAGGATGCAGTCAGATTCATTAAGAAATACATTTTGCGAATGTGACCATTGTGAAAAGGTTTTAGTGAGTGCAGTCAGGGTATGTGGTAGAAATGCTGTCATTTTAACCTCGACAATAATAAATTAGAACTTGGTGCTACTTTTTTGATAAAGTTAGCAAGTTAAGTTCCTATATGATATGGTTATTTTGGTCCTTGCTTTGTCTTTCACTCTAATACATGAAATTTTGAATTTCAGCTCCACACTTAAAATATATAATCTTGCTCCTGGACCGACAGGTGGCTCCCCATCAAACTGCCCAGGCCGCCCTTGCCCTTCCTTAGAGTGGTGTGTGCCAACCTTGCCAGCATCCATTCTACTAACTGATACTCTTGCAACCTTACTAGTAATGAATAATTAGCATTCATTTAAAGCTGGTTGTACGTTGTCTCATAATGCAGTCAGCTCTCATTTCCTGCCATCTTGTTTAAAGCATACTGAGATATCAAGGACGGTTTTGTGAAGTTTGTAAGAATCGGAATTAAATTTTGCCTCAAGGATATGTCACTCAATCTTCTTAGTCAAACTCCTGATGTTACCAAAAACATAAATAAAATGAAATAAAATAAAAACCCAGCAAGTTATTAAGTAGTATTTTCCCTTTCCCTGAAAGAACACTAGCAAGGAATAATCGCATCCAAGACTCACCTGCCCCCAACAGCATTCTTATAGGGCCGTCACCTCCTGTATTGAATTACCTCAGCATCGAATCCTCAGGCACCACATGCACCTCTTGCCCTCCTAACACTCGTGCCAATTAGAAGAAAATGCTGCCGGTCTCTCTCAGAGTTCTTCCCGTCTAGCTTCTGTTATAAATGGGTTGTAGGTAAATATAAACTCCATGAAAAATTATAATTACTTGAAACATAATTATGTAAATGGTTTCCTCCTTGCTCTTTGTTTTCATTACTCCAACCAGTTGATATTTGTTTCCTTTCCTGGAAACTGACACCTCAGTTAATAATCTCTAAGTTTCATTCTGAGCATTGTCATTTGTCATTTTTTCCAATGTGCAAGCTCATAGAATACAGAATACAGAGAAAATTGGCTAATCTTTCTGGTGCCTCATTTAAAGGCACATAAAGGACAAACCCGATTAAAATTTACTTTGTGACTTGCAATAAACAGAAGAACCCCAAGAACTGCAATCTGGAACTGTAGCATTCACATACATAAAAGTGTTTAATTGGTCATCATCCTCCATGCGTTAGCCGTGAGCATGTTGCACCGGTCGGGGCTGCTTTGTTGTTATTGTAGTTCATAACTGTCCTCTGAAGTCCGGGGTTATTAGAAAAATTATAGACACTCACGAGCTATAAAGTTTGCTTCATGTCACATTGCCTGCCTACCTGGTGGGACTAAGCCTAAAGGGGGCTTTATCTTTGCACAACAAAGCATTTTGGACCACAGTGTACACAACACAAAACTCCTCTCCCACGGGATGTTTGCGAAAGAGCTTTAAATTTCCCCCTACTTCACTAACAACCTACAGCTCACCTGGCAGTTAACTAGAGGACCTATTAGGAGTAGGGGGGTAAATTCACAGGAACAAAGCAAGGATTGCCTCTGTCCAATTGTGGAGGCCTTGTTTATCTCATGTATGTCCTCAACATCTTGTAACAACAGTGACAACAAACCCGGCAATGAGTACTGCAGAAGAACATGAATTTCAAGCAACATCTCAGCACCAAAGATATGAATAGGCTCTTCCTTCCTGCCTTGTATCCATGACCTGTTGTGTGTTAATATGTACATTTACCCATATAAACTAAAGGAAAGGTGAACGTGATACATCCTAGCAGTCAAAGGGAAGATAGCTTTGCCAAACAAGCAAACCAATAAAAGAACAATCAAACCAATAAAATTATAGCCATGATAGTGTCTAACCAGAAGGGAAACAAATTTTCCCCAAAGATGACTTTGCTACCTCTGATGCTTAGAGAACCTGGGAACTGTGCTTTCATTCCTATTGAAAGCCACTCAGATAAAAAGGGTTCTCCTTGTAACCATCGGGAGATTAGAATGCTGAACACATTTCAAATTACAGGAGAAGGAATTCGTAGAATAGAAGGTGTTACATTACTTTGCGAAGGTGAATATGATGGGAGGGCTTTGCTAAGGCACAGGGGGCAGACGTGGGTGGGCGGGGGGGTACCACAGAAACAAGAACAAGATGGCAGGATATCCCCTCCGGGTAGGCATTTGCACACTGAAAATGTGCAAATAATTAATAATTTTCTCTAGATTTTGTTAGACACTGTCTAACAAAAATGTCTGGCGTATGTTTTCTCTTGTGGAACTGAGATACAAATTGGATGTCTATTTTCCAGGCAAGCTTATTTCCTTACTTGTCTTTTGTTTCAAAACAGGAGACCAAAGGACCCCAGGAAAGTGCAAATTCTAATGGTTCTGTTTCAAAATGCCGATGACCAACAAGTCCATAATTCTCTGATTATGTGTACTTCACTTATGTAATGTGGATCACTATGCAAAAAGCTACCCTTAATTTAGAAAATGAAAAGAGTTGTTCTCAATGTAACTCAAAAGAAAAGAGTTTCCTTTTATCTTATTACAAAAGGTCACAGTTTGCATTTTTAGGTGATGCTCCTGTACTTTTCTGCCATGGAGACGGAGAGCATTTTATGAACTTCATATCTTCTTGTTTCAGTAGGGTCTTCATGGTTGTAACTATGTCTCCACAGCCAAAGTAAAGCAGACATTGAAGGTAATTACTTAGATAATTAAGGGGAAAACCTCTCCTCTTTGCTTTCAATGTGAGCGTGGGCCTCCAGTCAAATGAGGGAATTTGGATATCTAAAAGTGAATATTTTACTCATTTTCTTTCTTTCTTTTCCCAGTGAGGTACTAAACGTTGTTTCTCTCTTGTTTTTTCCATAATACTTGCAAAAATTACAATATGGGTTGCATTGTTGGTGAGTGGAAATCTGTAACCTAGTCATTTTTGTCTTTTTCTCAGTTTAATCCTCATGCTTTAGTGCATTCCTTCATAGAACTTATTATTAAAATTGTTTTAAAGTATTAACCTGGGTTTTTGCTTCCATATACAATACTATCTGGGTTTTTGCTTTCAAATATTTTAAATAATACATCCATAGAATTGAAATTTAAGCATCATTTAACTTCAGAATATTTCCACTCTGCTCCTGTTGCACAAATTGCCCTCTGTGGTTTAACACATGTGGAACTCTGTGGATGTTTGCCAAATTTCTGCTCCAGATATGGTGGTACCTAACCTGCAGAAGTGTCACCAGGGTTTTCTCTAATGTGTGTGATTTATTACTTCAGCAGGATAAAGCTTAAGGAGGACAGGAATTAGACAAGACTTGAGTTTGAGGTCCTGAGTTTGCCCCTGGACACAGGAGGATTGTCTAATTTACAGTTCTTAATAATTATGATCTATAAAGAACAGCTAATTTGAGAAAGTGTCTGTTACATGCAAATCCAAAATCACGTTCAGAGAAAGTGTGTTGAAAATGTTGCTTTAGGCAGGATATTTTGAAACTGCATTTTGAAAATTAGCTTAGATTTCTAAAGAAGTATGATTAAATGCCTTGTCTTACCCGTCATATCTTCCGTTATTCATGCACCATGTATATAGTGTGTAGCACATGAATGAGCTATTAGAAGTCTTGAGGGCATAGTTTCTCCATACACTCTATTTCTTTGTAAATCGACTGGTACCTCTGTAGACGAACTTAATTCTTTCCACCATTCTGGTCACAGACTGAATTGGAAGAGAACCGAATCAAATTTCTCCATAAGGTCAACATTGAACCTAACCATTGAATTTGATTTGGTTCTCAACCAATTCAATTTGTGGCCTGAATCATGGAAAGAATCAAGTTCGGGAACCGAGATACCACTATAATGTAAATATGCATCATATACTAATTATTCTGAGATTTCAATGTCATTGACTTGTTATCCCGATTAATAGTTGACAAGCAGAAGAAAGAGAGGGCCTCCTAAAAGTCACTTCTAAAACGTCGTCAGTGAATAAGCAGTTACTTTATGGAACATCAAGGCATGGCTGTGTTGGCAGCTCTCCATGTGCTTGTGGAAAGATGGCATCTGAAGACCTCAGACGCAAGTTCCTTCACATGAGTGTGAAACCTCTTCTGCTGAGCTGATCTGACTACGACAGTCTTGACCCCCCCTCATCACCAAAGTTGACTGAACCACTGTTGCTGGCTGGTGTTGTTTCCCTTTTCACACTTCAGGTGTCACTGGGTTCGAGAAGACATTTCCTGACAAGATTTTTTGTTCAAAGAACACAAGTATCTGTGTTCTTTTCATGCTTAGACTGGCCACACTTCTTCTTGCTTCTTTTAAAAGTAACTTTTTTTTTTTTTTACTTTTCATAAGTAGCTTTTCACAAGACGAGCAGACAGTTATCTAGAAATCCTTTCTAGTATTCTTGCTATTTTTAAGTAAGTCTTTAAAGAAAATCTCCATGGTTAGTATGGTTCCAGTAGGCATGGATTTTATATAAGAGTCTTGTAAAGGACTTGGCACGTTAGTTCCTTTGAGGCAGTTCACACCACCTTTACAGGGATCTAACCGCTAGGCAGAATTTTCTTCTCTGCTTTTCCTGCTTTCCCTCTTTTCCCAGAGAAGAAAAGTAGCACAACGAGGATGTGTTGCCAAGTTTTAAGGGTGATCTTTCCATCCACATTCCTTGGGTTGCTTTGTGTGTAAATACAGACGTAGAATGACAGGCCTGTCATCATTTTAATTGAAGCTAAACACACTGAAATTAAGAGTGAGCAGGACTGGCTGCTTGTGTTTCTCAGAAACCCAGGGGTGCCCAAAGCAAGAATTTGCTGTGGAGCTCCATCAACTTGGACTCTTCCGGTCCTAGAAGCAGATTCAGTGGGTTCACTCCTTTCCCAGGATTATCTTTCCTGCTGTCTTGAACCCGGGAAGTTCTGGGAAACTTTCAAAAGCTTCCCACATGGTGGAACAGTGGTTAACCAGGGGTTAGAAGGCCTTGCCACCTCTTGGCACTGAGGACAGAGATAACTGGACATCCTCAGAGGGCTACACAATGCCTCCTCCTAATTCTTACTCCTGGGGCGCTGCTGTCTGCTGCTCACTGTCCAAATTCACCCCGCACTCTTCTCTTCAAGATTTGCCAGGCGATCTTCATTTCTGAGTTCATTACCACATCTGTGCCCAGTTTTCAGTCTTCCCTGCCTCAGTTGCAGCACATTTTGCAGCAGTCACGGTGGAGTTTCAGCGTGACGGACTTTGGGGAAGCCCCGAAGAATGGCGGAGCACTTCTAGGGGTCCCGGTGGCTCCTGGAGGTGTGGCTCTGGAGTCTGTGTGGTCCAATCCTTCTCTGGACACTGTTCCCCTGCCCAGCCTCCCAGCCACCAGGGGGCAGCCGTGCTCCGTCAGGCCCTCCGCCCTGATGCTCCTGCTTTGAGCCAGCCAGCCAACCATAGACTGAACCCGTGGGCAAATTAAACTTCTCTTCCCTCAAGTTTTGGGTGTTCAGTATCGTGCCCCAGCAATAGGAAACCCAACTACTACTCTTTTCCACAAGCACTACTTTTTCCACAGACTTATCCTTGAGTCATCTGTGCTTCTCATGTCCAGTGCTACGCCTCAGTCTTCGATCCTCCTCTTCAGACCTTGCACATCCATAGAGGACTAGCACTGCCCACTCTCCTGGGAACCTGCTTCTTATGAAGAGTTACTCTCTCTGAGACAAGATTACCGTTCTGCCTGTTCTTGTTTGCATTTTCCTGATTGATCCCTGTGAATTGCCCATTTCTTTTTTAATTTTAAGTTTTTATTAGTACGCGTTAGCCTTACAGAGCTGTTACATTCACTGCGGTGAGCGGATACATCTACATAACATGTCTCAGTTCTTCTCTTATCCCCTCCCTCCCTTCTCTCAACACCCTCCCGTCATCTCTTGATCCCCTTCCCTTTTGCAAAAGATCTTTCTCCTTGTTTTCCATTATCTGTCTTTTATTTCACTCTTAAGTTTATTTGTACTTTGGGTTTCTCATATAGTAGAAAGCATGTGATATTTTGGCGATCCCTTGCCATAGCATGTTATAAAAAGAGTGAAAAAATGTTCTTTTAACCATTTAGATCTGCAGATTCCACATAAGCAGAGGATAGTGAAGGAGTTAAGACATTGTTTGCATTCACTATATGCTGCCCGGATATTCACAGTTAAATAATCAAAGTTCCGCTTTCATTTTATGTGCAATTTTATATTGAATGACTTCCAGGTCTATTTACTCTGCTACAAGTATTTCTCCAAAACAACCCAGTACCTTCTTAAATTACCAAGTATTGGAACTATTAGAAGCAACTTGTCTCGATTATGCTCTCTGATTTTCTTAAAATGAAGGATTTTTATTTTTGTGTATTTAATATATTTACTATGCCCCTTTAAACAGAGGACTTTTGCTATTTTGAAATAACAATTCTTAGATTTTGGGGGGTAGCAAAACATTTTAAGATTTAACTAAGAGACCCAGAATTGAGTCCTTTGACACGTCTTAAAACAGTACCTGGTACACTCACTTGGAGAATGGATGCCTTGTTGGAGGAGACATGCACTGAACATCAAAGTTGGGCTAGGGATGATATACTTCTCATTAATCTTTCTTGAGATGGATTTCTAGGGGTTAGATTTAGGATTGGAATTCCTCAGAGAGTTACCTATCATGAGGTTTGTCTAGCACCTTGAACTTCAAGAATCAGAAAAGGTAAAAATAAAAATTTTAAGGAAAAAAATCTGTAGCATGAGACTCAGGGACTAAGCAGATGTTGGTCAAAGCATTGAAGAGAAAGTGATCCCATCAGCAGCAGAAAGGGAAGTGGTGTGAACAACGGCCCAAATTCCCAGAGGAGATGGCAGGGAGATGGAATGAGAAATAATCAAAACCATCCCAAGTGCAGCCTTTAGGGCAGAGGACAAGGGAAGAGCCTGCTGATGGGAGGCTGGTGTGAGAGAGAAATAAGAAACTAGGCAGAAGCAATCCAACTCCTGAAAAGCCACCCTTGCTATGTGAATGTTGACTCTCTCCTGAAGGCAACAAGGAGATTGTAGAGAATGTTTTAGAATGGGGGCGATGTGAGGAGAGCACTGTTTCAATCCCTGAGGTTTTAGTGCTTGGAAGGAGTGCAAAGGGTATAAAGTTGACAGCACTCCCAGCCATACTGGTTGGGAGTGGCGAGCCTGTAGCAGTGGAACTCAACCTGCAGATCTACCTGATAAAAATTCCAAATTCAGCATAATTATCATCTACCAAGTGAGGCTCTCTGTCTGGATGTGGAGATTACCGGAATGGAAATTCTCTCCAGTTCCTCTTTGTCACTTAAATGATAACTGAAAAGCAACATGTTGATTTTGGCTGCTTCTGCAGCCTGGCATGGAGGAATGTGCTGGGCTTCAATAGGTCATAATCTCCACTTGTTAATAAGAGGTTTCTTTGGTGAGAATTTTACATGGAATAAAAGTATAGACTGCTCAAGATGCAACGAAAGAATGACAGGAAATTGGGTTTTATATTTCATAATTTTAACTTTTTCTTCTTTAAACCTCTAGGTAATATCAATTGACAAGAATCAAATTAATTAATAAAAAGGCACAGACTGGTGCTCCTATCAACAAGTTTTAGAAATTTGTTACTCAAGCTCTGACTCTCCAGATGTTACCCAGATTCTCAGCTCTGGAT